GTACGAATTTGGGGAGCATTTTCAAGTAGAAATATTTGACTGCTTTACATTTCAACCACTAAGTAGTACGAATTTGAGGAGCATTTTCAAGTGGAAATATTTTACGGCTTTACATTTCCACCACTAAGTAGTACGAATTTGAGGAGCATTTTCAAGTAGAAATATTTGACTGCTTTACATTTCCACCACTAAGTAGTAAGAATTTGAGGAGCATTTTCAAGTGGAAATATTTTACGGCTTTACATTTCCACCACTAAGTAGTACGAATTTGAGGAGCATTTTCAAGTGGAAATATTTTACTCTCATCGACTATGGAGTTCACCAGGGGCCTGTTCATGTTCATGCCCCAAAAGGCTGAAATGGTACCAGAATCGATGCTCGTGTGCGCATTAGTAAGTACTCGTCAAGCACTGTATGAATTTGCGGCTACCAATAAAATAATAATTATAAAAGTTCTGAACGTTTCAATTACAGGTGGTTCCTGGTTGTAGAGATAGTTCCATCCTCAAAAGACATTTGGGTGGAACAAGTTATAGTTATAGTCTTTCTTGTCTTCGAAGAATTGCCATACAATTGTCCGCCATGTCTGCAAAGGAAGGGGGATAATTCAACTGAACAAGGGAGATAACTCTCCGAGTACTCAGTTAATAATTTACGACTCAAGTTGTTATCGTTCTCTACTCGTACTCGGGTACATGGGTAACCGTTCAGTTCTGTTTAGGGGCGAGGTGAAGTGAAATAGGGTTTAATGTCGCGTTCAAGATTATTGCACTTATAAAGCGACGTGCATTCACGTGTATGGGTGTGGCTACTTGTCCTGGTCCTGACTGGTGCCGATTTATAGTGCTAGCACACTGAGATAGCATGCCGCAGTTTAACATGAATACCCCACGAGAAAATCCAATGATCGATATCATGAGCATCGATACACGCAATTGGGATACGATGACATGCATCAAGCAAGTCAGCGAGTCTGACCACTCGATCCTGTTGGTCGCCTCTTACGACAAGCACTCTCGTCTCTTCAGTTGCTGAGGATCTGTTCTAACCCGGATCTTCACGGTTAGAATGCCAATGGAAGCACCTTTGAGTTAATATAATGTTGAAATAAATATAAATTATTTTATATTATAATCAATATTAAAGGGGCACTGATCTAACGCAATTACCCGGGACTGGTTGTTGCCTTTGTTATTGTTTTTTCCCAGTGAGTACCCGGATGTATAGCAGAAATCTAGACTAGTTCGCGACCTCTGCTGCGCAATTCGTAAGCGCATTAGTCACTTTTATGGGTAGAAATAAGGGCGTATGGTCACATTGATCAACAAAATGAGATACAGTTTTCGAGATAATAAGGAAATTTATCTTTGTGGGTAGCATCAGTGATGGTGACGAAGTTTTGATAAGTCACTTGCTTGGTTATTGTGCGATTTTCATTTAAACTATTTTGACTTGCAACACAAAGTAAATATTTCACCTGGGCATTGCCTTTTTTATAGTGTGTATATTTCTTTACTGTCAAAATGTGTTACAATTTCAAATTTATTAAACGTCTAAATATTCAGTTATTTTACAAAGTGACTGAAAAACATTTCCATCTGTATTATTATGATAACGAATTCCAAACATTTGGATGTTTAATGTCATCACCAAGAGGCTGAAAATGTTACGTTGAAAAGTACATTTCTATGTTGTTTGGCTTCTAATCATACATAATAATCTGTTGTGATGTTTGTAGGCTCTTTTGATCGTCTTAATCAATCTGAACAGATTGTTTAGTCAAAATGACACATTTTATAACTTGCCTGAGAGAATTACATTTTACAAATTGACGGTAACATATACACGCTTACAAAGGAAAAGACCTGTGAAAACAACGTCTATCGCGCATTGAAGAATTTCCCAACCAAGACGAAGAGAAACAAGAACGAATCGGTTCAAATGAAGGAAAACAAAATGCAAATACCATAATTACAACCTACCAAATTTATGTGTATAATTTTTAGGCAGCTTCCTTGTTCGATGAATGTATCCGTGAATATCCACACAAAGGAACAATATCCCACTCGTCTGCAGCTGTTCAAAGAAACTAATTCGATGTCACGTGTCTCTGTAACAATCAAATATTTTAAAAGATATATATCGTTTCGGGATATTATAACCCGTGTTCGTTTCTCAACTCATCACTTGGATTGTTTCAGGTGTTTCACATAGGTGTCAAGTCTCAAGGGTCGGCTGAGAAAGCCCACGTGACAACTATTTTCATAACGTCCACGGTTCCTAAAAAATCCATTGAGTGATAGATAACAATGATCAATCAATCAACGTATTATCAGTTAACCCTTTGAACAAAGTATGTTGTTTTTACATCGGCACTTCACGCCATGATATGAGTGTATTCACTTTGTTTTAGTAAACCTAGACATGTAAACACTCACTTTTGACATATCCACTGTGCAAGATAACAGTGATTAATCAATCAACGTATTTTCTGTTAATCCTTTGATGACTAGGAACGATCCGTTGATTTTCAAAAAAAAGTAAATCAACTGATCATTCACCTCTTGCTGGTCTGCCACGTGCATATTACATAACACACATTTCACCTCACTTCAAACCTGGATTTAGATTGAATAATTACCCCAGACACAATAAAAGCCAAATGGGAACCTTTGTCAGGTAATCTAAGTGGTGCTACCACTAATTGTACCTGTAATAAATTCATTAACTGAGCATCAAGTGAATGACGACAAATACACAAGTGTAGGGTTATACGAGAAAACGTGGATGACAACAAGGGAGAAGCAATCGTATTGTCGACGCAATCCGAAATCCGAAAATGCTTTCACTGCATGGATACTTTTTTAGTATTAAACTATAACCATCTGGGGTATTTCCAAATGACGACATCCGATGAGCTCCGCCGTTCTTTTTGTCTGTTTGTTTAGGCTGAAGAAATTAATTAACATGCGCCTTTTGTCGAAATCTTTACAGATCACAGTTAACCAATCAGTGTTTATGCAAAAATGCGTAAAACAAATATTGCCTCCAGCCTCCAAGTTTATTTAGCTGTCCTTGCAGACGGTAGCCCAGTCTCTGGTCACGCTCAGTTGCGTTCTGTATCATCAGGGTACTCGCGGGGGAAAAAACAAGAACAAAGGCAACAACCAGTCCGGGGAATTGCGTTAGATCAGTGTAAACAGAGGCATTATGTATTATACATCTTATTTGAGTCATATATGTGCTACTTAATATCACTTTGCAAGTTTTGCCTCTGAAGATATCTGATTTCATGAACAGATATGAATCTATTATAGTTGCAGCTCAGAGATGAACATTTGATGAATAATTGAATATTACAGACTGAAATTCACTGATGTTTGGTATCTCGTTTGAGGAATATAGTTTTAACTTTCAATTTTGCAAAATTAATACACTTAATCATTTTTTTTGACTGAGAGGTAAAACCTATTTTCTACTTTATCTATAATGATACTTGTGAGTGTGTGTGTGTGTGTGTGTGTGTGTGTGTGTGTGTGTGTGTGTGTGTGTGTGTGTGAGAGGCTGCGTGTACTAGTCAGGACTGATGCCAATTTATAGTGCTTTCACACTGAGATACCGAGTCGTAGTTTAACGTGAATACCCCACTCAGGCACAGTATACTGACTCCGAGCCGATCACCTTAATGCCGAGCGTCAGACAGTGTAACAACAAGTACCATCTTTTAACGTCTGTGGTATGACGCGGCCGGGGATCCAACCCCGGACCTTCCGCTCTCCAAGCGGACGTTCTACCACTTGACTACGGAGGCGGTCCTTTAGAGAATCGGACATCCTATTTCACAGTATGTAGATTACACCATACAATAACGGATTTCGGATTGTGTGGGAAAAGACCATAGTCCTCGCCGCTTTACATTGAATCACGAAGTTAGGTAACTGCGAGTGGCTATATTTAAAAGCGCATGCAGCATACGAACATTACCAGTACGAAAAACCCGTGCAGATGTAAGTGAGGGAGTGAATATGGTTTTACGCAGCTTTTAGCATCATTCCAGCAATATCACGGCAGGGACACCAGAAATGGGTTTCACATATTGTACCCATTTGGGGAATCGAACATTGTCATCTTCGAACCCAACCGCACCTTCTTGATTTGTCTCTCACGTTTATGTAAAAGTGACAAAACATTTTCCATATTCAATAAAAAAATTCTGCTAAAAGCAATGTCGATTGAACCATTCCGACTCTATCATGAGAATGTTACAATACTATCCTTTGCATTTGAATGATAAACATATACAACAATTGGTCATATATGACCTGAAGATTCCTCGATGTGTTCAGTATAATCGGATTGTTGGATGTTAATACATGTCACTACTTTCAGCAATAAATAATTTTGGAATATATTGTGTGCAATTTCGTTTCTTTTAATTATACAGCAGTGTTATTTTGTATTGTGTTTGATGAGATATTGAGGGCAATGTGAGTCAATTGTGTTGCATATCTATTGCTGTTGGTTAATGGCAAAACTATCAAGCAGGTTGGTACTTTCTTTGATTTCCCATGTGAAGAAACAAACGACGGTTGCACCCATCTATGGGTACGTATGTGACCGATGTAGTGTGGAGGTAAACAAAAGGTCCAAGCAGAGATCTATTATATGGTCTCTGGTCCAAGACACTGAAAACAGTGTGAGAACGTTTTATTTCCGGTGTCTGATAACACACCCTGAAACAATATATCTTTCACTAAATACAACGTCATACAATGTACTTGAGACTTAAACACAGTCCATTACACAAATAAGGTGAAACATGAATGACAGATTATATGACAATTAACAACAAGGGGCGATAACTCCTTGATTAACTCATACATTCACATGAAATATATATGGTACAGACACAGACGTCTTTATGCGAAACGCATTTCAGATGAAATAGATGTGATTCTCAGTATCACATAAACATGAATACAAAGTAACATTGTTCCTACCCGGTGTATGGCACTACGGGGATCACGACGTTATCTCCGCCAAGCCAGAAGTACCAAGCGTACCTAAAATCTGTGTAAACAATATTTAACATTAATTTTACAGTAAATACAAATCAACATATCTATTATCATTACTAATGCATGGAACACATCAAAACAGCCTAGGCTAAAACCACATTCGTACTAACATTCACATATACACTATTCTTCCTATCATATATGAAATTAGTCAGTCAGACGCTCAAACATGCAATAATTCACTCATAGGGAAAATATAAATACTTGAATGAATTAGAAGAGTTATTTGATAGTTTTATATTAAATTCTATACTCCGAAATGCACTAAAACCTGACTAAAGAATTATTTACACTTAGGTTTACCATTGTTACGGATGAATTTACTGGTTATATTTATACACCAACAATACAAATATAACTAAAAACTGTGCACATTTATAAACCAATGTAAAAGATTAAACTAACCTCTGAGGTACTTACAACTCTTTATGACTCCAATCTATTACAGTCATGCTGGTGCAAAGGGTGAACGTGAAGTGCAAATTTGAATTAAGAAAGAGAACAAGAGTTTGAATGATCCAATTGGCGTTGATTATATCAGGCCATGTGATAATGTGGTAGCCCTTCATATCTACCCTTAATTATATAAGACTGAAACTTACTATGGAGATAATAATAGACTCAACTCTGAAACCTTCTGTGTCCTCATAATTATAGTCTGTTTCAAAATGACCAAACCTGTTGATAGAAAAAAATACATTCATCAGTTCAAATAGGAAATGATATACCTGCAATTCTTAACCTTTAGCCTGCTGAATTATTTTCACACTTCTTACCCCTGCCTGCTGGATTAATTTTAGCATAAGGCGCTCTAAAGAGGGTGGGTGATTTCAAACAGTCGGTGCCTCATTAAACAAGGGCCAATTGAAGAAATATTTTGCACATTTATTCCTGATAGAAAACTACACAGTTCTATATAAAAATATCCCGATGTTTTCAATCATACCAAGGTTAAGACCAAAGCGAACACAAAATTTGTAAATTTTCTTGAACTTACCTGAATTGCGTTATTGAAGGTGGTTTGCATTTCATGCTAGGAACCCTCTAATATCGTAACATTTGTGCAAATTGATTTCAATAATCATATCTCCGATATCTTAATTTTAATTGAGTAAAGATTCCGGTTTTTTTTATCAGCAAATAACAGCGCGATGGTAAATTAGGAACCATTTCAGTGAATTTGTTATCTGAACGTTAAACAGAAAAATAACTTAATTTTCGAGGTCATCATGTCGGTTGCAGAAATACGAATATTCGGGTTAATCTGACGTGTCATGTTATAAAATTTGCAGGAAACAATTAATGACTTATAAATATTCACTAATCCTAATTTCAAGCGTTTTGGTTGAATATTTACGATATACAAAAATAAACAACCCGTGTCATGATGCGAGCAGACGTCCTAAAATCAAACATGGCGCGTTTCGCCCGACCTCCGCATAACTTATTGCTATTTTAATATCAACAAAGTTTACATTGCCTTTATAAATATAACTTGGCGAAAGTTGACGATCTTCTCAATCGAAGAATGTTTTATTCGTCATATTCCAATAAATATGACGAGAGAAAAATGAAAATAAAGATCGTGAATTCTGACAGCACTATTTCAATAAGTGCACAGGTCACCGGATGTGATGTCACAGACAGGGGTAGTCTGCTGATAAGCTTTCGAAACAAAACAATTACAGTAAATTTTGAAATAGTTCGCCTATCACATACAGCAAAAACATAAGTCGATACACAGTATCAGTAATCGCCACTAACATGAAATAAAAATGTGACTTTGACGATATAATTCGCGTATTAGTTAATCCGTTTGACCTTGCATGCTCCCGTGACCCGGAAACGGTAGACGATAAATCAACATGCCACATGCAAGTTTCTCGGTATCTTTTATTTGAACTTCTGTTGATATTTAAGAATCACCATTCAATGTTGTGAATATAAATGGGACATGATTCATATTTCTGCGTTGTACATGCTGATAAGTTTCACTACAACAAGTGTATCCCACGTAATACGTCTATGGATATCGTCGATCAGCAAGATCACCCTCAACAACAGGTGCGCGAAAATGGGCTTGACAAAACGTGTTTCAAAATAACATCCCCGCGTTGCTGAATATGATAGGGTATATATAAGCAATAAAATTCTACGTACATATTTTCGGTGTTCCACATTACATTTAGGATAGTTTTCCTTTCGGGAATACATTCATAGATTCTAGCATGATTTTAGAACAGTTTCACGAAGGATTTCTAAATTTATTCCAAAAATATGAAGACCACCATGATTGCGCATTGATGATAGATTTGTAATTGTTTAATTATTTACAGCTGTTTACAGGTTTTAAAATTTTAAGTTATATTTAATAGCTATTTTTCCCACAATGATGGTGTGCGGGGACAGTAAATATTAGTCTTTGCATCAGCACAGTGTAACTGATCAAACTTCAATTATTATCTTTAGTTTAAACATATTTATTCAACAATAATTATCTTGCACTCTGAAAATCAACTATGTGAATAAGTAACTCTCTGATGTCATCATTTTAATTTTAGTATTCCATGAATAATGAATAAATCAGATCCTTAACATATACATACTAAACTCATATGGACATTAATCTTGTGCATTATGTGGTTTGTTTCCAAATAAAACAATTCTGAAATATAATTTAATAGGAATAAATTTAATTTAATTACAGTAACAGTACATGACATTTTTGTTTGTTTAATCACAAGAACCATGGTGGCACATGAGCTGGTAAGTTTGCCATAGGTTTCTTAGAAAATGCTATCTCAGTCTTCTGGTTGGAATGAAAAGAAACATGCCTGTGTACATGTTTACCCTTGCCAGATGTATTTTTTCCAGTCAGCCAATCCATTACTTTTGTTCACCTTATGTGGTCTATTTTATACATACAGGTACTGCTTCCAACCTGTTTTTTCTTTGTATGCAATCACAGTATCACAACTTCCTCAGCTGGTGTGTATAAAAGTTCCCCTGTCATCATGAAAAAGAATTATAAAGGAAAGTCATATTTTCATTCAAAAACATATCTGTCTTTCCTTGAATACTCTTTGTCTAAGTGCCAGGAATGTCAGTGTCATAAAAAAATTAAAAACAGATTTTCATAAGGACTTTTCTTAGATAGACCTAGATCTAAGTCAAACCATGTGACTAGTTAGGTAGAATTATAACCTTATAAGCCCTTATTTCTGAGGTGTCCATATTTTAAACATTTTTAGGACTAAACGTGATCCGTGTAGATCTGCCTGTTTTGTTATGTAAAACAAATTCTTGTCTTAAAAAATGAGAAAAGGAATCATTCAGACGAATTTTTTTTATCCCATTGATTCACGAAAATCAGTTGAAATGTACAGTGGTGACTTTTGTACCCAAAATTTCTAGTAATTTTTTACCCAAATGGGTATGTGATTTTGTAGATCTACCTAGAATTATTTCAAAGATATACATTAATTTGGTGTCTTAAACTTAACATAATATCACTTTCCTATCAAAAAATTCATTCTAACTTAGGTTTAACCAACTTAACTGGCCTCTCCTTCAGTGACAAGACGTCAATTTTCTCTCAAAACTAAACAATCAATTTCAAGGATCACAGTCATAATCATATTTGGAACTTGATGAAATATTTTATTTTGTGTTCTGTTCATCTACATGAAAACATAAATATAATTATAGATCTATTTTCTTATTTTCTTAGGTACAAATTCACAAAGTATTTTGCGTACAATTTAATTTGTTTTGGGTACAAAATCACATATATAGGAGCCTAGAATCTATATATATTTACACTAGCCTACCTCGTTGTGTACCAAAATGTTATCGGTTCAGAGGACGGGAGGTTCTCAGAAAGTTTTCAACAACATCGTTAATATTTAAATTGTTCTTTTTGTAATGTTAGACCTATAACAATATTATGTTATTATTATGGCATATCAATACGTTGTATCGCTCTCCGTTGCGTTCGTTTTTAGAAAATATTTTAAAATTAAAATCATCGAGCGTGAAATCCATTACGGTTTCGGATTTACACTTACACATTTGATGGCGACAATCACGAAGAAATATGAAACAAATAAGAGTGAAGACTGCTCTCCAGATCAATAAATAGTAAAGAGTTGACGAAAAATAGTAAATTATGTATTTTCTTTTGAATTTGAATCTATTTCGGAATTTCTTTATGATAGCTTACCAACTTTTGCATATTTTGCTTCCATGTGTCACATGCGGTACGTGCTTCCGGTTTCAGAAATGGTAGCTAAAATTGCAAGTATTTTGATTATTTCTCGTAAAATGCATTATTTTGCTATTGAATGGTTTACTTAGAATGTATATCAGTTCCGATTTTGCGTATCATCCAATATTTGTCATTTTTCGCAGTGTTTGTTGACTTTGTTCAACTCAACAAATCGCGAGTTAGGCCACGCCCAAACATATGACTGACGTTTGTCAGCTGTTTGTCGGCTTGTGAATGTGTCGGAAAGTTTAACAAACGAAATCATTTCCAAACTCTTTAAAAATGAAATTCTTTTTACAAAGATTTATACATACGTGTCAATAATTCTAGAAAATTAAGTTAGATGTAACAAAATGATTGTAATAGTCTAACGGGATAACTATGCATGTGGAGTTGTTTGTTTACCGCCGTTGCCATGATAGTACAAGTTTCATCCAATCGATGATGTTACGATTCAGATTGTTTTTGTTTACAATTAGTTACACCGAAAGTTGCTATTTTTTAGAAATTAAGGAACATGAGTGTTTTCCTTTCGTCAGCAAACAAAAAATTATGATCGAATAGGAAAAATGATGAAATTATAAAGAAAATATCGGACTGCATGCCGCTCAACGTGAAGTGCCAAAAGTCAACAATGGCCGTTTCTGGTAGTTGTGTGCCGGGAAGTTTGGCCGAAACATTTTTAACTGGCGATATTTTCTTTTTGAGGTAAATAAATGACTGAACGTTTTGATATTGAGCAAGCTGAGCATTTATGCATGTCATACGTAATTTAAATGTTACGCAAAGCCTTCTTGGTAAATAGATATGGCGAGTTTTATTTTGGGGTGTTGTTGTGCTATTCGCCTGTCGAATGGGTTCGACATCAGATGCACGGGGATGGACACCTCTGTCGAATGGGTTCGACGTTAGCGTGCAGAGCTTTAAGTGGTGTTGGGTGGTATGCAAATGTTGTTTGAATCGTGTTGGAATAGTGCTGCAATAGTGCTGCAATAGTGATGAAATGGGTTTGGAATAATGCCGGAATAGTGTTGGAATAGTGCTGGAATGGGAATTCCTGACAACCTGGTAATTGTCATGTGGTCACAGTGTTGTCGTCTGCGGTCAAACAAGGCTTTGTTTCTCATTTGGCAATACGTAATTTAAATGTTACGCAAAGCCTTCTTGGTAAATAGATATGGCGAGTTTTATTTTGGGGTGTTGTTATGCTATTCGCCTGTCGAATGGGTTCGACATCAGATGCACGGGGATGGACACCTCCGTCGAATGGGTTCGACGTTAGCGTGCAGAGCTTTAAAGCAATTGTCAGTATACAAATATCAACGCAACGCTCAAATGACTTAAAACTAATATGTACATAACTATATGATACAATAATATGTATCTGCCACACAGTTACAATTATTACCGTGAATATTCGGTTGTAATCATATCGAAACTGGGACACACCTTGCAACTGGATTGCCTG